TGTAGTTGAAAGCATAAAAATACGGAAATATACTTAGATTTCGGCATAAAATAACCCATAGAAGTTGATATGCCGCTAAACAAAATCAACGAAACCGAACTAATCCAAAGATTTAGATTTTGACATTAAATAATGCATAGAGGTTGATATGCCGCTAAACAAAATCAATCAAACCAAAACAATCAAAATATTTAGATTTTGGCATTAAATAACCCACAGAGGTTGATATGACGCTAAACAAAATCAATCAAACCAAACCAATCAAAATATTTAGATTTCGAAATTAAATAACCCATAGAGGTGTCGATATTCCGCTACACAAACTCTACCAACCAAACAACCAACATAAAAGAACTCTTTCATGATATTTATCCATATAATATCCTACAATTACTTAAAGAAATCAAACTGTATTGCAAAATATAACTTTAACAAAACTACAACATAAAACACAAACATCACCGCCTCTAGTAATTATGTTCACACAAAAATATATATGCACAAAAGCTGAGTATCATCTACCATGTATTGTGAAGGCAGAATAACATATATCATATTTATTAATTAAAGCTCTGAAGCAAATTAAATTTCGACATAAAATGACCCATAAGAAGTTGATATGCCGTTAGACAAATTAATCGAAACCTATTTACAGTATATAAAAAAATTTGAGAGGCGTGGAGTCAACTCTTAAATGCTGTTGTTCCTAAATCCACCCTGATCCTGGGTGGCAGCATATGTTAGGGTCCAAGCTATAAGAAAATAGTGAGCCACCCATACAAAAATAAGATCATGTGAAAGTATAAAAAATACATTTTTATATAAAAAATACTAACAATAACTTTTAATACTAAAATTGCCAACAACCTATGAATGAACATGAAAGATCTCTTTGATGGCGTTAATTCATATAAAATCCTAGAAACCAAACTGTATTCAAGAAAACTACAACATAAAACACACATATCACTGCCTCTAGTAATCATGCACACAAAAACATGTATAGGCACACAAGCTGAGAATCATCTACCATGTATTCAACTGTGAAAGCAGAATAACATATATCATATTTATTACTTCAAGCTCTCAAGCAAATTTCGGCAATTACCCTTAAAGAGTTGATATACCGTTAAACAAATCAATCAATACCTATTTATAGCATATATTTAGTTGAAGCCGTAAAATTGTTTTCGAAATATGTAATTTCGACATTAAATAACCCATAGAGGCTGAAATGCCGCTAAAGAAAATCGACCAAGCCATCAACGAACATGAAAGAACTCTTTCAAGACATTAATCCATATAAAATCCTACAATTTATTAAGGAAATCAAACTGTATTCGAAAATATAACTTCAACAAAACTACAACATAAAAAATCACATATCACCGCCTCTAATAATTGTCTACACAAACATGAATATGCAAAAAAAGCTGCGTATCATCTACCATGTATTTAACTGTGAAAGCAGAATAACGTATCTCATATTTTTATTATTTCAAAGTTCCCACGAAAAGTAAATTTGGGCTTTAAATGACCCATAAGGTGTTGATATGCCGTGAAACAAACAAATCAAGCAATTAATCATTCTTTCAACCGAATTAATTCAATATTCTTCCTCGCTTAGATTTGCTGCCTCCCTGTGTTAAAGAAGCTGGTTTACTGTGCCATTTCACATATAGCTGTGGGTAGGGAGAGAAAGGCGGCTTCATGCGTTTCTGAAGGGTAATAGTATGAATTTTAACGCCATAGATTAGGTTAGAATTTGGATTCGTTTTTCCGATACGACTTTCCATCACGCACACTCCCTTTGTAATCTGTTATCCGAAAAATTCAAAATTCTGACAATTGTTTGGTTCAAAACATTTCGGAAAAGAGGTTATGAATTTTAAAATAGTGAAATGTTGCCCAGTGGATATTTTCAGAGGCCAGCAGTCTTTAATAAATATCAATGATTACCGACGAGGTATAACCCTTACCCTCTACCTCGACCAGATGAGTTTTCTCTCTCTCTCTCTCTCTCTCTCTCTCACACACACACACACACACACACACACACACACACACACTCCCTCCCACCCTTAAGCTCTTAATCACTCACTCACTCACACACATACAGAGAGAGAGAGAGAGAGAGAGAGAGAGAGAGAGTAGGTATCCGTTTATCTCACGAGGTAATGGTAGTGACCTGTCTATGTAGAATTCACTCCTTCTGACCTCCCCAGAACAAAGGCCTGGGGAATGGTATAAAAGCCGAGCACAGCATAACCCTATCTCTCAGTTGTGCAGACAAAATCCAAAGGAATACTGGACATTACTTTTGGAGCCGGCCCTACAGCAGAAGTTACCGGAAGTTTGTCAACTACAAAGTGAAAGAGAAAGGAAATAGAGGAAAGCTGTTTTTTTTAACGCAAAGTATATTATTAAGAAAGAGAGAATATAGAAGGGATACCAAAAGTCTTTCAAAATTAAAAAAAATGACTGGTCTATGGGTTATTTGGTCAGTCTTTGTGAAATAGTCCCGCCCGTGTAGATTTCACCAATCACTCCTACAATAAACATCGGATGATATTTAAACAGAAACAGTGATAGATAGATAGATAGATAGATAGATAGATAGATAGATAGATAGATAGATAGATAGATTAATGAACAGACAGATTGAGTAATGAACAGACATAGATAGATAGACAGACAGACAAATGAACAGACAGATTGAGATAATGAACAGATAAAAAAAGGACAGACTGAGGTAGATGATAGATAAAAGACAAAAACTGAGATTGACTAATGAAGATAGATGGATTGACTGAGATAGATAATCATGGAGATAATAATGCAACACAAAATGTACTTAAACAAAATGTATTGAAAATGAAGAGAAGATGTACACAGATATTTAGATATAGTCTTTTGTATATTCCTGGGAAGACATAGATAGATAGACAGACAGACAAAGATTGTAATGACTTAGTGTTGAAACTTGACTAATGCATGGAATAATAATGCAACACAAAATGTACTTAGAACAAAATGTATTGTGATTTACATATAGTCTTTTTGTATATTCCTGGGAAGACCTCCTGGAGAATTGTTGACTTAGTCGGTAGTCTCTGGATTGAACCATATTTATATGGTACCAACCATATTTCCACTATGCAAATTAGGTGGATCCTACCACAACACATAGATAGATAGATAGATAGATAGATAGATAGATAGATAGATAGATAATGAACAAGCAGATAGATTGACTAACGAACCGACATAGATAGATAAATAGACAGACAGACTAATGATCAAACATAGATAGATAGATAGATAGATAGATAGATAGATAGATAGATAGATAGATAGATAGATATGTACAGACATAGAGGGATTGATTAATGCACAGACACAGATAGATAGATAGATAGATAGATAGATAGATTAATGAACAAGCAGATAAATTGACTAACGAACAGACATAGATAGACAGACAGACAGACTAATGATCAAACATAGATAGATAGATAGATAGATAGATAGATAGAGAATAGACAAGACAGACAAATAGATAACTAAGGTATAAAAAGACATAATGTCAAAGAAAGAGCAAGGCAAAGAAATAGAAAGAAGTAAAGAGAACGAAAGAAAGAAACTATGTAGCAAAGAAAAAAAGATGCAAAAAGAAAGAAACAAAACAAAAAGAAAAAAGCAAAAAAACACATCAAGCGCTAAGCGGATATTGCACACTCAATGCGAGAGCTTATTAGCAACACTGATTAGGTGACATCTGGTGATGATGCAAACGTCATCCAACAGATCTTAGAACCCCGCCTTCTTCATGGCTTCATGGCGTTTATGCTAAACAGAAAATGCCAGTAAGTTAGAGAGAGAAACAGAAGCATAGGAAGAAGGAGTTTTAAAGAAAAGATGAGAGAAAAACGAATTCGACAGCATTAAAAGAGAGATGTGGTTTAAAAGGAAATGGAATAAAAAAAAGTGCCAGACAGTCATGTGACTATATTTCGTATCCATGTAAATCTAATCTGAGTCGGCGTCATTGAAAAAGAACGCCCCATCAACTTCCGGCTAAGGCCTTTTTCAAAACGGAAGAATGACTGAATCATATACAAGTAGACACAATGACTAAAGAGATATTGTATGAAGAGATTTCTCTTTGGGGAGCAAGACGAAAAAATCTTTATATATTGATATTTTCTTTTATCAGATCAGGTAGGAAAGATTATCTTTATATTTGCAAAATAAAGGTATGGCAATTGTCGTTGCGATGATAAATAAAACTGACTTGTTTTGTCGCTGTTGATCCGGACATTTTTGCGAGGGATTTTGTGCTGTGTATGGGTGTGGCATTTTATATGAGTCAGTGAGAAAGATACGATAATAGAGAGGAAAGATGTAGAAGGTGGAGGGAATATTAGATGCACTGAGATAGATAGATAGATAGATAGATAGATAGATAGATAGATAGATAGATAGATAGATAGATCTGAATAAGGTTAGATAGATAGATAGATAGATAGATAGATAGATAGATAGATCTGAATAAGGTTAGATAGATAGATAGATAGATAAATAGATAGATAGATAGATAGATAGATAGATAGATAGATCTGAATAAGGTTAGATAGATAGATAGATAGATAGATAGATAGATAGATAGATATGAACAGAGTGATACTGATAGATAAATATGAACATAGATAGATAGATAGATAGATAGATAGATATGAACATATTGAGAAAGAAAGAATGAAAGAAAGAAAGAAGGAAAGAAAAAAAGAAAAGGTAGTATGTATTTTCATAAATATCTATAATAAAGTAAAATAGTAAAGAAAATAACAATAAACTAACATAGGTAAAAAGAAAGAAACTAGATAGATAGATAGATAGATAGATATTGTAAGCGGTTGATATAAATTAGAAATAACAGCCCTGAATATAATGAACCCAACTACTGGAATTGGTCCGTACACGCAAAGGCAAACATGTAGCAGTGACATTCCCAAGTGGTCACCCATCTAAGTGCTGACCACGCTTAACTTCAGTGATCGTATGAGGACCAGTGTTTCAACCTGGCATGGCCATATACCAAAAAAAAAAAGAAAGAAATGAAAGAATAGGTTATCTGAGGTTAATATAAACAAATTAAGAAAGAAAGAAAGAAAGAAAGAAAACAAACAGATAGATAGATAGATAGATAGATAGATAGATAGATAGATAGATAATGAACAGACTAAGATAGATAGATAGATAGATAGATAGATAGATAGATAATGACCAGTCCGAAATAGATAGATAGATAGATAGACAGATAGATAGATAGATAATGAACAGACTAAGATAGATAGATAGATAGATAGATAGATAGATAGATAGATAGATAGATAGATAATGACCAGTCCGAAATAGATAGATAGATAGATAGATAGATAGATAGATAATGAGCAGACTAAGATAGATAGATAGATAGATAGATAGATAGATAGATAGATAGATAGATAATGAACAGACTGAGATAGATAGATAGATAGATAGATAGATAGATAGATAGATAGATAGATAGATAGATAGATAATGAACAGACTGAGATAGATAGATAGATAGATAGATAGATAGATAATGAACAGACTGAGATAGATAGATAGATAGATAGATAGATAGATAGATAGATAGATAGATAGATAATGAGCAGACTAAGATAGATAGATAGATAGATAGATAGATAGATAGATAGATAATTGTTATGAGGTCCACCCCTTTTTCATGCAAGTGAACTCGACCAGTGTGTACTTGGACTGCTGCCGTTAAATACCCAGAGCCAGTCAGAGTAGTGAGAGACAGTGATTGTGATTGAGTTGGAGGTAGAGTAATAGTGTGAGGTAACCTCTTGTAGAAGTCATAGTTACAAGCACGTAAACTCTAAGGAAGTCCTACTTCGAGACTGAATTTAACAGACTGTATATATATATATATTATTATTGCTACTAACCGCGTTTCTGGATTTACTAACCGTATTACCAATTGTATTGTGTAAATATATTTATTTGCTATATTTCATTCCTGCGTTTGTCATTCATTGGAGACCGGATTTCATCCCGGAATCCACAACAATAATGAACAGACTGAGATAGATAGATAGATAGATAGATAGATAGATAGATAGATAGATAGATAGATACATACCTTTGGGTAAACGAACAGAGATTTGACAGGAATGTCTTCGAAGCTCAATTGTCTGGTCTTAATCTCTAGGATCAGCAAAACCGGCAATTAAATTCGCAGCTGACAACCTCAGATTTTGAACTCTAAAGAAAAAACAAATTCTTCAATTTGAGTGTCCAGTGTCAAAAGTCAGTATTTAAGACTCGCATTGTTGGTGTCTAAATGGAATTTCCAAATGAATGATACCGACGAGAAATGTATTTTCAATTTAAGAATTTCTTATATACAGGCTGCGATGGGTGAATTGTCGTCTAAATGACGCAGAAATGAAAATAATACTAGCATCTCATTTTAACATATATTTACCAAAATAACACAAAAATATTTTGAAATACTAAAGAATAAATCTGTTCAATAAAATCTCCATTGGCCTCAACCTCCAAACAACTTCGGAATCACCTGCATTGTTGAGGGGTCCACCCCTTTTTATACAAATGGACTCACTCAGTGTATACATATACTACTGCCAGTGAAGACCCGAATGTCGAGTCGAGTCGAGTCCAGAGTGACAGAGTAAAAGGTTGTAGGTAACCGGAAGAGTGAGGGGTGAGGTAACAGCGTTGTAGGAGTCACAGTGAGCGAGCACGTAGACTCAGTAAGAAGTCATACAGCGATACTTCAATATCAAAGACTGTATATATATTTTGCTACTAACCCGTATTACCAATTTGTATTATTACATTAATACATTATTTTCCTATATTCATTCCTGGCGTTTGTTATTTATTGGTACCGGATTTCAACCCGGAATCCACAACATGCATCTCTTCCGGACGGTCTCCTTGTTAAAGTTGGTGAATGCTGCCATAATCTTTACTTTCAGTTTCTCTTTGATGTTGCAAAGAGTTTTGTTGGTCTCGCTCAACTGCGCCCTACATTTAATAATCAAGAGCGTTTCAGTCTGGTGAATTAGGTGGCTACTTGTAAGAGGTGATCTTGTCTCAGAAATTATTTGACATCTTTACTGGGTTCTCCTGCTAGTGTGGCAGGGTGCAGAGTCCTGTTGCCAGACATAGGGTCTTCCAGCTGCCACTCTCTTGGAAATAGCACTATTTCCTCAAGTCATTGGATGTCATAGATAGATAGATAAATAAAAATAAAAACCAAATTGACTACATAGCTATCAACAAAAGATTCAGGAATGCAATGGTTAACTGCAAAACCTACCCAAGTGCCAACTGCGGAAGTGATCATCGCCATCTTAGATTTAAACTAAGAGTGAAACACGGAAACGGAAGAAACCTAACGCAGCAGCCAAATTGCAATCCAACAAATTCCTGAGCAACCCGAATCTAAAAGAAAAAATATATGGACAGTTTGAAAAGAATATAGGTAGGACAAAATGGAAATGGAAAATCAAAATAGGACGCACTACGAGAAGATTTATTGACATCAGGAAACGATATCATCTCAAAGGAGAAGGGACGAAGAAAAAACGAATGGATGACCGATAAGATTCTCTACATGATGCAAAGGAGACAGAAAACTCTGCCAAGATACGGAACGGAATACAGAAAACTACACAACGAAATAAGGACCAAATGCAGGCAGACTAAAGAAGATTGGCTAAACAAAAAATGTGTTTGAAATAGAAAGATTGAGTACCACCAACAAAAGAGAGGCTGCATAAAATCAAGGGATAGAACGCTCATATTAGATAAGGAAAAATTCTTCAGCGCTGGAACGAATATATTGGAGAAGACTTCCAAGACGAAAGGGAACAACCAGCAATATACTGACGAGCCTGAAATTCTAAAAACCAAAGTTGAAGCTGCACTGGTGAAATTGAACAGAAACAAGGCGGCAGGGCCAGACGGAACTGTAGCAGAAATGCTAACAGCCTTAGCATAGACAAGATTACAGAAATAATAAATGAAATCTAGAACAGCGGGGATATAGCCGAAGATCTCAGATCTACTTTCATAGCACTGCCTAAGAAACAAGGCGCAAACGAATGTGAACCCCACCGAACAACCAGCCTAATGAGCCACATAACAACACTCATCATCCTTATTCTGATAAACAAAGCGCGCAGTAGAAGCAGGCCAGAAATAGGGCAAGAACAGTCCGGGTTCGTTAAAGACACTGGAACAAGAAACGCAATATTTATGCTTAGAATGTTATTAGGTTGGTGCAAAAATAATGACGTAATCATGTCGTTTTTGGACGTCAAAAAACGACATTACGTCATTATTTTGCACCAACCTAATATCAGAAAGAGCAATAAAAATGCAGAAGGTTGTGCACCTATGTTTTATAGACTACGCAAAGGCGTTCGACAAAGTACACCACAAAGATCTGTTCGAACTTCTTATCAAGCATGATATATTTGGGAAAGATATTAGAATAATCAAGAACCTATACTGGCAGCAAACGGCCTGCATGCGGATTGAGAATGAGTTCAGCAGATATAAAAATAACATAGAAAGGGGCGTAAGGCAAAGATGTGTCTTCTCACCGGACCTATTCACCCTATACAGCGAGGCAGTTCTGAAAGAACTGGGAATCCTACCAAGATTCAACATTGGCGGCCACAGTATCAACATCATAAGATAAGCAGATAACGACGTGCTGATGGTAGACACGGAGAAGAAATTACAAAACCTCCTACAGAACGTAGTGAAGGGGGAGAGTGAGAAGAAGTGACTAAGCATAAACTACAAAAAGACGGAATGTATGGGCATCATCAAAAAGATGAACCCTAAATGCGATTTACAGGTCGTGAACACTATATTCAAGCATGTGCGTAAATTTAAATATCTGGGAAGTGTTCTGACAGAGGACAGTAGGTGCGACGCTGAGATCCGAAGACGTATTGGGATGACCAAAGACGCCAAAAAGATTCCAAAATCTAGGGAGAGTATTACGAGACAAGAGGATTTCGATTTTGTGACGTGATATCTATCGTTCTTTACGGCAGCGAATGTTGGACGGTCTCCTCAGAGATGAAGAAGAGACTCAAGGCAACGGTTCTACAGAAAGATGCTAAGGAGATCATGGTCCGAACAGGTGAGCAACGATGAGGTTTTGGAGAGGATAAAAACAAAGGGGAAGCTAATACTTGACATCAAGAAGAGGTAGCTGAAATTTCTAGGACACAATGAAAAAGGAGGGCTTGGAGAATCTGATACTCACAAGGCGGATAGAGGGAAAGAGAGACAAAGGAAAGCAACGTGTGACATAACTAGCTAGTGGAAAACAGAACATTGGCTCGGGGAAGTAACAAAGAGATAAAACTTATTGAGAGCTACAAGGAAAGGAGGAAGTGGAGAGCCATGATCGCCTACTTCCTGAAAGGACACCGTACATAAAAGAAGAAGAATATAATCATATTCACAAACTTAATATTTATAATAATTATAATAATATATAATAATAAATTCTTAAAAAGAATTTAATTTCGAGTGAAAATGTCAACCATTGCATTTTAAAAAGAAAATGTTAGCTATTGCACTTTAAAGAGAAAATTTCAGCCATTGTACTTTAAAATAAAAATGTCAGCCATTGCAATTTAAAGAGAAAATGTCATCCATTAAACTTTAAGGAGAAAATGTCAGCCATTACATTTTAAATAGAAAATGTCAGCCATTGCACTTTAAATAGAAAATGTCAGCCATTGCAATTTAAAGGGAAAATATCAGCCATTGCATTTTAAAATGAAAATGTCAGCAATTGCACTTTAAAGAGAAAATGTCAGCCATTGCAATTTAAAGAGAAAATGTCATCCATTAAACTTTAAGGAGAAAATGTCAGCCATTGCACTTTAAATAGAAAATGTCAGCCATTGCACTTTAAATAGAAAATGTCAGCCATTGCAATTTAAAGGGAAAATATCAGCCATTGCATTTTAAAATGAAAATGTCA